ATAATAACTAGATAGGAAAGTCATGTGGACACATCAGATTTTTTTTAATTTGTTTCCAAATAAAATTCGTTTTTTTTTTTAATTAAAATAGATATTAGGATTTAATATTTGTCTTGATTACATCTTGCTTATTATGAATAAATGAAATAGTAATTCGCAATAATGTATGGTAAATTCTTTGGAAAATTCTTAAAAAAATTCTTGGAAAATCTTTGAAAATGCTTGGAAATTTCCCAGAAATTTAACCACCACAAACAACTACCAATTATCGATTGACAGTTAACACACGCCAGTTTGACCTATTTGACAATTAATTACACACATACACTCCTCATAAACAATGATCCGTTGTTATTGTATTATTACTTATACTGTGGTGAAAATATTAAAAATAATCATATTATTTTGTCATATTTATCATTAATAACCTAATATTTATAGTGACATTGTTGACAGGGTACAAAAACTTAAAACAAAAACGTTTTTTAAGGTTTATTTTTGTCTTATATTTTCAAACCGCATGTAGTGAAACAAAAAGAAACTTGTCCATCTATATTGTATATTTAATGAAACTGTGCTTCTATAGGTAGATTGCGAGGAATAATCTGGGGTTCAATGTGTGGCTTATACCTAATAGCCATATTAAATGTATAGAGTCTAGATGTAATTAAATTGCTAGAGTCGCAGACTTTGTGTCGGTGCGGAAGCTTCAGAACTCCTTTCCTTATAATAAAGTTCGGTGTCGCACTGTCTCTCTCTCTTTGTGCGTCTTTCCTTTAACATGTTGTAGTCTCACGGGAACTTGAAAAGTTTCTCGCTTATTTTGAATTAAATAATTCGCAAATATTGTTTGCGTATGGTCTATTATAGTAAATTTATTTTTAATAATAGTAACAGCATTAAGCTTAATGCTTAGTTGAACATTCACAATATAACTGGGTCGTTTTTTTTTATATTGTAAATCATATCTTTGATAAATTGTAGAGATGTCCAGAGTCCTTCTGTTTTCAAATCCCTTTTGTAAGTAACATATTTTTTACATATTGCAAAGCAATTAGTATCGATATATTTTTCTCCTAATGCAATAACGTCTTGAGTTCTAATCCTTTTACTTATTTTGTTTTCTGGAATTTGCTTTCTCTTCTGGTCTATTTCTGTCGTTATACCCTGTAGTAAAACTTTTTCTTCTAATCTTTTTATATCTGTATACAGATATAAGGAAAGTATAGGAATCATGATTTTTTCGACCTCGAGTTTTCGACGGATTTTTACGTTTTGAGGTCCCCTGAATCCGTTTTGACTATTTTCGCGATGATGTCTGTGTGTGTGTGTGTGTGTGTGTGTGTGTGTGTGTGTGTGTGTGTGTGTGTGTGTGTGTGTGTGTGTGTGTGTGTGTGTGTGTGTGTGTGTGTGTGTGTGTGTGTGTGTGTGTGTGTGTGTGTGTGTGTGTGTGTGTGTGTGTGTGTGTGTGTGTGTGTGTGTGTGTGTGTGTGTGTGTGTGTGTGTGTGTGTGTGTGTGTGTGTGTGTGTGTGTGTGTGTGTGTGTGTGTGTGTGTGTGTGTGTGTGTGTGTGTGTGTGTGTGTGTGTGTGTGTGTGTGTGTGTGTGTGTGTGTGTGTGTGTGTGTGTGTGTGTGTGTGTGTGTGTGTGTGTGTGTGTGTGTGTGTGTGTGTGTGTGTGTGTGTGTGTGTGTGTGTGTGTGTGTGTGTGTGTGTGTGTGTGTGTGTGTGTGTGTGTGTGTGTGTGTGTGTGTGTGTGTGTGTGTGTGTGTGTGTGTGTGTGTGTGTGTGTGTGTGTGTGTGTGTGTGTGTGTGTGTGTGTGTGTGTGTGTGTGTGTGTGTGTGTGTGTGTGTGTGTGTGTGTGTGTGTGTGTGTGTGTGTGTGTGTGTGTGTGTGTGTGTGTGTGTGTGTGTGTGTGTGTGTGTGTGTGTGTGTGTGTGTGTGTGTGTGTGTGTGTGTGTGTGTGTGTGTGTGTGTGTGTGTGTGTGTGTGTGTGTGTGTGTGTGTGTGTGTGTGTGTGTGTGTGTGTGTGTGTGTGTGTGTGTGTGTGTGTGTGTGTGTGTGTGTGTGTGTGTGTGTGTGTGTGTGTGTGTGTGTGTGTGTGTGTGTGTGTGTGTGTGTGTGTGTGTGTGTGTGTGTGTGTGTGTGTGTGTGTGTGTGTGTGTGTGTGTGTGTGTGTGTGTGTGTGTGTGTGTGTGTGTGTGTGTGTGTGTGTGTGTGTGTGTGTGTGTGTGTGTGTGTGTGTGTGTGTGTGTGTGTGTGTGTGTGTGTGTGTGTGTGTGTGTGTGTGTGTGTGTGTGTGTGTGTGTGTGTGTGTGTGTGTGTGTGTGTGTGTGTGTGTGTGTGTGTGTGTGTGTGTGTGTGTGTGTGTGTGTGTGTGTGTGTGTGTGTGTGTGTGTGTGTGTGTGTGTGTGTGTGTGTGTGTGTGTGTGTGTGTGTGTGTGTGTGTGTGTGTGTGTGTGTGTGTGTGTGTGTGTGTGTGTGTGTGTGTGTGTGTGTGTGTGTGTGTGTGTGTGTGTGTGTGTGTGTGTGTGTGTGTGTGTGTGTGTGTGTGTGTGTGTCTGTGTGTGTGTGTGTGTCTGTAGGTCGCATAACTCATGAACCGATACACAGAAAAACACCAAATTTTAAACTTAAGCTTTATTCCAGCGTATAATGAACTGATTAGATTTTGGGCAGAGTCGGAACATCTGGGGGGGGGTACTTTATAGGTGGTCATTTTTATATTTTATGAAATATATCTGTTATTTACGTTTGGAGAAGAAAATTCTTCAAATAAAAGTTACTTCTTATATAATTATCTATAATTTTTGTTCTATGCAAAATTTTCCTAAAATGGTCCGTATTCGAGAAATTTGACAAACTGTAAAAAAAATATTTTTTTATAAAAATTGTTCAAATAAAAGTTGTTTGTAATATAATTCTCTATAATTTGTATTCCATACATAATTTCTCTAAAATGAACCGTTTTTGAGATATTTGAGAAAATGTGTAAATTTCAAATTTTGAAGAAAACTCAAAAACGGATGAAGAAAATAACATTAAATTTTAAACTTAAGGTTTATTTCGGCCTGACGTGAAATGATTAGATTTTGGACAAAGTCGGAACATCTAGGGGGGGGTACTTTATGGGAGGCCGTTTTTATATTTTATGGAATATATCCGTTATTTATGTTTGGAGAAGAAAATTGTTTAAATAAAAGTTACTTATAATATTATTATCTATAATTTTTATACTATACAAAATTTTCCTAAAATGGCCCGTATTCGAGAAATTTGACAAAATGTAAAAAAAATATTTTTTTATAAAAATTGTTTAAATAAAAGTTGTTTGTAATATAATTCTCTAAATTTTTATTCTATACATAATTTCTCTAAAATGGACCGTATTCGAGATATTTGAGAAAATGTGTAAATTTAGAATTTTGAAGAAAACTAAAAAACGGATAAAGAAAAAAACATTAAATTTTAAACTTAAGGTTTATTTCGGCCTGAAGTGAAATGATTAGATTTTGGACAAAGTCGGAACATCTAGGGGGGTACTTTATGGGAGGCCGTTTTTATATTTTATGGAATATATCCGTTATTTATGTTTGGAGAAGAAAATTGTTCAAATAAAAGTTACTTCTAATAATATTATCTATAATTTTTGTTTTATGTTAAAATTTCCTGAAATGGTCCGTATCCGAGAAATTTGACAAAATGTGCAAAATTCTGATTTTTATGAAAATTGTTGAACTAAAAGTTGTTTGTGGACAATGAATATATTTAGTTTATCCTCTAAACATTTATAGAGATGCTGCAATAGGTTGTACAAAATAATCGGAAAAAGCCTATAAAAACTAGATAGGAAAGTCATGTGTTGGACACATCAGATTTTTTTAACAAAAGACGCACATGTCTATATGTAAACTAGTGTTTCCGTATTTAATAAAAATTTTAAAAGGATTTACCGAAGTACTCTTTGTAATTTGTTCTTTATGGGAATTACCGCAGATATATTTTTTTCGATGAATCAGGAATACGTAATACAATATGGTTTTAAATATGACACTCAAATAGATAATAACTACTTCCTTCATTAATTTTTTTAGTAAAATACATTTGATTTAATTCCTATAATAAACTTTTTAATCTTGTCCAGATTGCATATATATTATGTCACTCGGAAACCAAACACATCTTAATATGTCAGCCAACATATAGGCCCATCATTCCCTGTGTCGAGGTTACATCTTTTTCCTTGTATAAAAATCCTTAACTTGGTCCCATATATAACGTACCGAGAAACATTTCCAATGGTAAAAGATAAGAGAGAGATATTTCAAGTTCTCCTAAGGTAGGCGTTCGCCCATAGAAATCTGCCGTATATGCGCGGTTGATTTTAAACGAAGCTTTCGGCAAAAATATACTTCCGGGTATTAATTTTAATATTGAAAACCGTTCATGAAGTGTGCCTAGACCTATTAAGAAAGGGAGTGATTCTAAAGTACTCGAAAAATGACTAACTTTTGATATCTAAAATAATAACATTGACTTACATAGAAATTTTCTTAAAAACTAAACATATTTACACATTGTTTTTCAGTTAAAACCCTTACCATCAACACAGAAAAAAAATTAAACATCATACTTCAAAATATTGTTTAGTTATTTTGAAAGCTTGGTTTAAAATTAAAAAGATTTTTTTGTGAAAACACAAATATGTGGTATATCACGTGACATAGCTGAAAGTTACAAAGTTAAAATAATTTTTAACTTGTTAAAAAATTGCGAGATCATCCAGATAAACAGTTTTAAAGATATATCTCGCCAGACGCCCCACATACAGGTATTTGCACCATCTACGCGGCCAAAATAATTTTTTTGCTTATTTGGTATCTAAACAACGTAAATAAATAAAATAAGTTGTTTTTACAACAAATCTATATAGTTTCTAAAAATAATTATATATTTACAAAAAAAAAAAATACAAAATTTTAGGTCGGCAAAAAATTTTTGTTAAATTTCTTGACTTTCTTGACTTTCTTCGTCGCTCTTTGATGAACTTCCTGTTTCAATATGGGATTCTGCAGATACAAACATAGCCAAGGTTTTAGGCAAAAATGTTTTTGCTTTTCTTTTTTTACATTTCGCATGCTACTTAGCACATAATCTGAACTAAACAGAAGGCGATTAAAAATGTGCTGATTACAACTTACCCTGGAATATTTTCTCGCAAAATCTTGTCGGTGACTTCTGAAATATTTACTGCAAGCCTCAGCTGCTTCCTTGGAAAGCTGTCCGATTGGTACCATTGCTCTTTCAATAATGACTGCACCATGCACTAAAATCTTGTGCATTGTTGGCATCATAGGATGCCAATCATACCACTTAACATAAAGTCGAGCAGTTTCTGAAGCATATCTTTCATAATTTACCGGATCAACTTTAAATCCGCTTGAAATTTCTTCCAATATGTATATCAGTTTATACCTAATGCCAGTTATTTCTGCAGCTAATGTGAGATTCTCAAAAAACCTTTTGCTAGTATTTCCATCATTTGTATTCCCGAAATTGGATTTAGGAATATCTATTACCAAACCTGTTTCAGTGCGGAACCTTGTTTGTATCTCTCTTTTGGTCTGATCTTCTAGATATCTCCTCTTTCGATTTTATTCCCCTATATTTTTCACTTTAAGTTTATATGCTAAGTGTAGGATGCATTCAAATAATCGAATTCTAGCGTGTAACACAGATATGCCGAATTCAAGGGCTGTAAAATTCACTTTTCCTTTGTAATCCAATTTATTAAAATCTTTCAAAGTTGCCCCACATGTGTAGCACCTACTCGTAAACTTTGTGCCTGTAGCTGCATTGCCGACCTTTCCATCTACCATGGTTATGATAAAATTGTGCTTGATTAACAACTTTTTCCCTCCTAGGTCGACGTCTGGTGGGACTAAAAAGGTAATAGCGCTTTTGACGTGTGTTATTTCTTCTTCAGTTACATCATTAGTTTCATTGATAAAACGGAATCTTATTGGTCCACAAAATCGCGGCGAAGAGGGCGTTGGATTATTCCATAAAACTTTTTTATTTTTATCTTCAGAAACTAATTGAAGAGGCGCAAAACAGCTTTGGAATATGCTTGAATTTGAATCAATGTCTTTTTCTAGTTTTTGTTTGAACTGTGATTGTTGAGACCTATCGCAGTCCCATTTGCTAATTATAGTTAGGCAATCACGCTCTTTCTCCTTTAAAGTTATTAATACCTCTTCTAGGTACTCCGATAAATGCCTAACAGTACCATCCATTAGAGGCTGTAACTGAGCTTCGGCAGTGGTACTCGTTACCATTAACGATTCTTGAGGTGGGTAATATTTGTTTTTGGCATTTTGTAATGTAATGTAACGAAAAAAAAATCTTATTGGTTTTTCTTATGATTTCGTACTGTCCTTGCGTCAAATCGGCATCTATAAACATTTGCAAAGCTTACATTGGTGTCAAGGAGTGCTCTTTACTTGATTTCGTAAGATAAGCCTTTTTATATTTAGTTGCTCGTGTCAGAGAACTGGTGACATTTGATGCATCTTTTATACCAGATTTTCGCAGCTCCACTTTCGCAGCATGTATTATGATCTCCGTTTCAAAATTAGAACGCAGTTCTTTAGTCTTTTGTCTATTGCTTCTCTCACTTGCGTCTTTGTGAAGCCCCAACGACAGGTATTTCAAAAGTACCTTCCAGCCAAGATCGGTTGTATTTTATAAAATTATCTTCTTTATAATGAGCTTTGGTCCACCTTTGTTTAATTTCTGATTTGAAATGGACAAAACCACGTTTCAAATTAATAATTTGATCTTCATTATAACCTTCACATGATAGAAGTTGATCTTTTAGATAGTTTAATTAAGCATTTAAATTTGGCAAATTTTCTGTCTTTATGCGGTCATATAAGTATTGTCGGGTCACAACCCTCCAGACCTAAAACAAATATACACTATGTTAAAAGCCGCTAATAAACATTTCCAATTTTATACGAAATTTTGCTAAATATCTTTAATTAATGCCTCAAAGCTGTATTTTTTCGGACGTTTCCGGAGATGTTTTTGTTAGCATTTATAAGGAAAATGATCATATAATAACCTTTAATGAAACCTATAGTTGGATCTACCCCGATACATAAACAAGAACACTAGAATAAAAAAATATTTAAGGAAATCACTGTATGAAAATGAGTTTTTTTTTTGTTATAAAAAATTTATATTGTATAATGGATAATCATGACTTTATTAATGTAGTTTGGAAGTTTTTTACCTTGTCCATCAGAATCCATCACTTTCAATTCGTAAGTAGAACTTAATAACATAAAAATTCACTTTAGAAGTTTAAAGTTTAGAAAAGCACCGAGAACAGATACGTACACTAGGTAAAACGGTCAAATTCTAAATGACGCTAGAGTTGGGGGGTGCGAGATAGAAGGTAGATGGGCATGGGTATTGTTCCCGGATTCGTCTTCTGTTTGTGGAATTTGTTATTATAAATGTTATTGTTATTTTGTTATTGGAACTTTAGGCCGCGTAGATCGTGCAAATACCTATATGTGCGCCGCCCTTAAGGTAAGCCACTAGGTATTAGCATCGCTTTTATTTTGACAACCAAGCATGCGCGAAAAATTTTAGTTCTAGAACTTACCTTATTAGGCCTTAATTACGTATATTTAACGGCAGCAAATAGTGCCGACTTTATTAGCTTTCGGGTGAGCTCGCCGACATTCTTATCAGTATGAATTTTTCTAGTATTAAATATCAGTGGGAAGGGTTCATGTATATCTTAGGAATTGCGACATACGACATAGTCTACCTAAAACACTTGAAATTTTGAATAATAAAATAAATTTATATATTGTAAATCCTACACAATAAAAATATAAAAAAAAATACTCTTACATATTTTTCATAAATTGGCAGGCTCGGCGACTACTATTTTGAATAAAATTAGCGTCCAATAAAGAAGGCTATGTTGCAACACCCTTAGACATGCGAGTTTTTTCAACTGGCGGCTATTATTTTATGTCATTGAAATGCCTAATAATGAATGTACATTGTTTAATCAATCCAATATTAAGAATATGTATATTGTAATGGTTCCACCCAATATAAGGTAGAGCTCTTACAAAAGTCTTCGAGCACTATGGGATGTGGCTCCAGTGACTTCATACATCAATTAATACACGCCTAAATAAATTTTTTCATTTTAAGACAAAACAAAAAGAATTGTGGGCTTACTACTCCAGTGCCACAGATTTCGAAAAAGCAAAATAAATTTTCAGAATAAAATTAATAAATACAGTTTAAAATAATACTACAATATATTTAATAATTGGTTAGATTCTATAAATGTACTAAAAAAATATCAATAAATTATTATTTCACTTCTACGTTTATTAAACTACATAATTATAAAATATTTTCTTTTTCTTTTAATATCAATGTTAAGTTATAAATCCCAAATAACTTTTTAAAATAACGAAAAATAACTATCTGCATGTGCAAATACGGCCCAGTTTCGCTAAAACATTTCCAACCATCAATGAATACTTGACAAACACGTTTTTTATAGTCTATCTCTCTCAGCGCAATTAACTTAAGTCTAATCCACTTTCACTCTCTCTTTCTCTAAAGCAAGTTCTTAAAAAAGGGACCTTATGACTGTCCGGTGTATAAGTAAAGCACCCCAAGTGAAAGCACCAAAGAAGAAACAGTTAAGGCATTTATTATTTTTACTGTAATTATTTATAGCATTTAAATAAAAATATTTTTTTTTTTTTTTATTAGATGATCTAGCCTGATGTACTTAGTTTTAATATAACTAGTTGTAAAAAAAATTGATTTTTAAACAAGTTTTATATTCAACAAATACCAAAAAGCCCAGTAAAGAAACAGGAAATCTAGTAAAGAAATTTTAAAATTCCAATAAAGAAACACACTTTTGTGAACTATTTAAGGCATTTTATTGTACAAATAATGAGTAATTCAATATAAATAATTGTTCGCCTGAAAAGTCAAAATATAAAACTAAAAATCTGATGTGTCCAACACATGACTTTCCTATCTAGTTATTATAGGCTTTTTCCGGTTATTTTGTACAACCTATTGCAGCACCTCTATAATTGTTTCGAGGATAAACTAAATATATACATTTTCTACATACATCTAACTCGAAACATTTTTCTATAGATATTCATTGAAAACGAAAATACTGAAAAATTTAAATTTAGCACTTTTCCTTCAATTTTTCCAATACGGTCCATTTTAGAAAAATCGTATAAAAAACAAAAATTATGGAGATCGATATCACAAATAACTTTTATTTAAACAATTTTCCTAAAAATTTGAATTTTATTAGATTTTGTCAAATTTCTCGAATACGGACTATTTTAAAAAAAAATTGTATGGAACCAAAATTATAGATAATAATATTGTAAGTAATTTTTATCTAAACAATTTTCTTCTCCAAACATAAATAACAGATATATTCCATAAAATATAAAAGCGGCCTCCCATAAAGTACCCCCCCAAATGTTCCGCCTTTGTCCAAAATCTAATCATTTCACTTCAGGCCGAAATAAAACTTAAGTTTAAAATTTAATGTTTTTTCCTTTATCCGTTTTTTAGTTTTCTTCAAAATTCGAAATTTACACATTTTATCAAATATTTCGAATACGGTCCATTTTAGAGAAATTATCTATGGAATAAAAATTATAGGTAATTATATTACAAATAACTTTTATTTAAACAATTTTTATAAAAAAATATTTTTTTTACATTTTGTCAAATTTCTCGAATACGGACCATTTAAGGAAAATTTTGTATACAACAAAAATTATAGATAATAATATAAGAAGTAACTTTTACTCAAAGAATTTTCTTCCCCAAACGCAAATGACAGATATATTGCATAAAATATAAAAATGACCACCCCTAAGGTAACCCCCAGATGTTCCGACACTGCCCAAAAA